CCTTCTTACCTTTCCTTTATATCTTATCTCTTTTGATGCTAATTTCAATTTATGATCTCGTAGTATCACCGGTTATTAAACGAAACAATATTTTTAGCCTTGATTTATATAATGTAGGTTGAAAGTTGAAACAAGAAAATCTAGATAGAATTTAAATAGATCCCTGAGAGCTTTAGCTAAATAAGATTTTATTCTGATTTAGATGGATCTATTAGTTAAGATTTAATCAATGTAGTTGTTAGTATTGTTAAACATCCTTCTAGATGATCAGTTTTACAAAATATGCATTAAACATTACTTCATTTTCAAAACTGATTGTTTTAATCAATACAACATCTTTTTAATCGATTAAATGAACTTATACAACATTTTTTAATCGATTAAAAGTCGAAATAATCGATTAATTTCACTAAAGTTTCATGTTTTCAAATTCTTACATGTTTTAATCGATTAAACCCTTCTTTCAATCGATTTAAATCATTTATCAAGAACATTTTAACCGATTATGCTCTGTTTTTAATCGATTTTTATTCTGGAAAAGGAAAATTGAAGGCTTTAGTTAATGGTTGTTCCTGTAACATGCTACTAAAGCGTGATTCCCTTATCTTTACACGTGTTAATTGTATTCATTACAAACGTGTTAATGGAGATAAGTTTGAATCAACTTTAATTGATTCTTTTCATGAGTGAAATATTGATTCACTTTGTATTTTCAAAGACTTGAGCACATTTCAAATCCTACATTTTTTTTTTCTCTTCTATTCCCTATTTTTGATGAAGTCAAAAGGGGGAGAAATAGTTGCTTTATTTGAGGATAAATTTAGAAAAATAACTCTTACATTAAGAGAGCAACAATTTAGGGGGAGAAATAAGTTTTAGGGGGAGAAATAAAACATTATTACATTTTTATATTTCTCACCTAACCTCATTATCAAGTGACTTATTTTGCAGAGATTTTTTTTTCAAAATGGTGTTTGTCTTCATCAAATAGGGGAGACTCGAAAGTGATACTAGCAAAGATCTCGATGATTTGATGAAGTCAAAGATAAAGTCAAAGGTCAACTCGCAACAGTCAAACAAGTCACTCGGAAGAATGGAGTCGAAGACTTAGTGTGTCTTAACGAAAGCTTAGGTAAAACCACTTTACCTTTTTCCACCGCATGAAGCTCCTTCACTCAATTTGCAAAATGCCTCAAAAATAGTTTTAAACAAATCAAACAAAAGCATTTTGACAAAGAACTTTCTTAACAATGTTTTTAACTGATATAGTTTTAAAAGAAACAATTAAAATCACTTAGAATGCGTAAAGAAGTGTTTTTACAGTATTTTAATCGATACAAACTTCTTTTAATCGATTAAAACCCTTTATGACCGATTAGAATTCGAATATGACAGGTCGAATGAAATATAATCGATCAGACTTTAAAAATGAGCGATCAGATTTGTTTTAATCGATTAAAACACGTTTTAATCGATTAAAACCACTTTGAAGTCAGGATGATCGATCAGAATGAAATTATGACCGATCGAGTTGGTTATGATCGATCAAAAATGAATTATGACTGATCAGACTTATTTCAATCGATTAAAATGAACTTTCAATCGATTAAAAAGACTTAAAAATTTATGTGCAGATTTTCAATCGATTAAAACGACTTTATATCAGCTAAAATAACTTGGAAAGTTTTATAAGAAGGTTTTTAAGCAAATCAATTGATTAATACGCGAATCAATCGATTGAATTACTCTTTGAAAATATTTGTAAAATGTTTTAACTGATAAAAACGTGGTCGTATCGACTAAAACAATTTTATTAAAGAACAAGAACGCATTAATGGGTTGAAAGGACTTTTAACAGATTATAACGGCTATTTCAACAGATTAAAACAAACTTTCAACAGATTAATTAATGCAACAGATTTGAAAATTCTCTTTAAAAACAGATTTGCTTGGAACTTTTTACGGATCAGCTTTCATAAAAACTAAGCAATCAATTCAAGCAACCGTTAAGCATCCTTTTCCAAGAAAGATTCAGAATCGCTTTGTGAACTTCTTTTGAAATCTTTCTTGAGGCACTTTTGCATTCTTTGAAGGAGGAACTTACAGTAGATAAGCGTAATCCGGTTTGAGCTTTCTAAGTTTCTTCTTTTCAATTGCTTTTCATTTCTTTGTATTGTGTTGTACCTGGAATTTGGGTACAAGTTTTCTCGCAATTGGTAGGTGGTTGTAGAAGTTTCCAAGAACTGGAATTTGGTTCTTGGTGGAGAGGTTGAGTACGAGAACTGGAATTTGGTTCTTGTACTCGCTTGGTGCCTGGAATTTGGGCACTGGTTTCTCTACAACTGGAATTTGGTTGTAGAGGTTTTCAAGAACTGGAATTTGGTTCTTGGTGAAAGGTTTGGTACCTGGAATTTGGGTACCGGGTTCTCTCGTACTGGAATTTGGTTGCAGAGGTTTCCAAGAACTCGAAATTTGGTTCTTGGTGGAAAGGTTAAAGTCGGAACTGGAAATTGGTTCTCGTGTTAGAGTAGGTGTAAGATTGTTGAGTCTCAGAAACATCTATTCTAGTGGAACCCAATCGGAATTTGGCCGAGACTCGGACGTAGCCCTGGTATTGGGTGAACCAAGTATAAAATTACCGGTGAAATCTTTCCTAACCTTTCTCTCTTTAATTTCAGTTGCTGCGCTTGTATTGTTTAATTGCTTTGTGATTCGTGAATTGATTAGTAAACTTAATTTTCGAATTAGATAATCTGTTTATTGCGAAAAACTTTCAAAAATCAATTCACCCCCCTCTTGATTTAAAACTACTTTTCTAACAGTGGGTCATTAATGGACATACTTAAATATCAAATATTTCCTAGTTAGAAATTTCCTAGACATATATTTTCACACTTCCACACTCTATATCTAGTAACAAGAATAATTCATTTCTAATGTGAAAGATTCTTAGATTTTTCTATAACACGATTCTAATCATAATAGTAGCAAAATATAACTAGAACAAGTAGTTTTGATACCATTGTTAGGTACCAAAATAACAACACAAGAACTTATAATTAAAGTAAAAGACAAAAAATAAAGAAATAAAACAAACAATAAGCAGTAATGTAATTTTACTAAAAGAAATAAAATTACATATCTTTTTTTTTAACTTTAAGGAGAAAATAACATTCTCTCAATTAAGAAAAATTAACTATAATAAGAACTTAAAAAAAAACTAATTTTACTCTTAATTTTCTTTCAAGTACTAAAACAATAGAAGATAAAAAAAATATTTTTATGTAATTTATAAAATAAACGCTATGTTCCTTTATAAAAGAAATATTAAAATAAGTTTAACGTGAGACGCCACTTCTCACAATTTCTTTATTAATATAAAAATTGTCCAAAATTATTAATTTGGGAAATTTCCAATTCACCCATCAAGAAAACATATAATTTTTATATATTTTATATTATTTAATCCAAAATTTTTAAAATATATTATATATTCCGAATTCATGATTTTTTTTAAATCCAACAATTTTGAAATACTTTATAATATTTTTTTAAATTAAAAAAACATATAATTTTTATATATTTCATATTACTGAATCCAAAACTTTAAAAATATATTATATATTCCGTAACTTTTTTTTAATCCAAAAATTTTGTAATACTTTATAATATTTTTTAAAATTACAAATTTTATGATTTAGAATCAAATTCATATGACGATCCCATAATTGACTAATTTTCATATTTAATTTAATGAATTGATTATAAAAAGTTAATACAAAATAAAGACTATATATTTAACATATAAAATTACTTAAAAATACATAAAATTATTTCTGAATTAAATTAAACAAGAGATTTTTTACTTGATCTACATCTTTACAAGGATTTTATTCTATATACGCATAATATATTAGTCTATTTGTAGGTAGTTAAAATCAAAATTATGTTAATATTATTGTTAATAGTTTTACTAAGAGTTACATGTATTAATAATAATGAACATTATGTTATTTTTCATCTAATAAGTGTTTTTTTTTTTAACATGACCACGTTAATATATATTTGAAATTTTTTTCTTCTTCTTTAAAATATAAATAATATTTTGAACTTTTGTTTCGTGAGTAAAAAATATAATTTTGGAAAATGTAATTTATATGTTGTTAATTAAATATTTAATACAGGTAAGTTACTAACAAATGGATGATTTCATAATTTAAGATAAATTTTGTTCAAAATTTATAATAATTATTTTAAAGTGTCACATAAAAAATTTAAATAATTGAGAGGGTAGAAATTTTGACCATTGATTAAGTTCATTTTTGTAACAAAAATTAACGTAGATTTTATGTATGAATATTGTGTGTTTTGAAAAGCTGTGTGTTATAGGCGGCGGAAAAGTACGCAACGTGGAAGTGGCTGGGCGTAATGAACCGAAATCCAAACTAAAAGGCCAAAGAGCGACGCGCATGGTTGTGGGGTTGTCCTCTCCGCCACACAAACAAAATGCCTTTGTCTTTCTCTCTCACAGTAAGTTCCCTTTCTCTCTCTCTCTCTCTCTCTCTGAACAAAGAGTACTGCACATAAATTGGAAATTATGAGTAAATGAAGAATCAGAAACTGGTCAAAATTGAAATAGTGAATCATTCTACTGGTAATTTAATTCATTATTATAAAGAAGGTCTCTGGAAATTTGGTTGATGATAGTAGCATTCCCTGTCCTTCAAATTGTTACTTCTTTGACTTTAGATACAGGAACATATTTATTGATATGACTAACAATGTGCATTTGTTTTTTATCAAAAATGTATAGTCTTTTGGGGTTGTGAGGAAAGTGCTGGGGAGTTTTATGACAGGCAAGTATGTTTCCTCTTGCATACAAGCTTCTTTTTCTTCACTGACACACCAACTCTTAATTTGAGTAATTTCTCTCAATTGTGGCTTATTTGACTCACTACAGCCTTTTGTTTCTGCAAATTATAATAGATCTTGTTAAACCAATGGGTGGAAATTGGCACTTCGCTAGAAGAGGTGAAAGACTTGTATCATTTAAGGGTAGTGTGAGGCTAGTACATACAACGTGCCGAATCTCTGTCCCTAGGACCTTCCCAAGAAATGAAGGAAACAGCTTGTCTAATATCTCAAGGGATAAAAAGACAGTTCCAGAAGCAGATCCTCCCAGTATCAAAGATATTCATCTTTTGTATGATTTTTTGGACCAGAGGTTAATTTTCTTAATCTGTCTTTTTTTTTTCTTTTTCTTTTTTCCTGTTAGAAGTATATTGGATCTCTCCATGCATATTCTATATAATAACATAACTTTGATAGTTTTCATTTTGCAAATTTTAACAGTCCCCTAACTGAATTTCAATTTGAATGTACAGTACCAAGCTCACAATATTGACCGGAGCTGGAATCAGTACAGAGTGTGGCATACCCGACTACAGAAGGTTCTGGCTCTTCTGTATGCTACTTTCTAACATCATGAGATTACCTAAAATGTTTATTGGGAAAAAGTAAAACATTGTAGTTTTGCTCATATTTGCTACATGATATGTATTGTTTATGATATTGAAAATTATTTCCGTTATTTTTAATTTTGGACCTTGTAGATTTTGTGGATGTAGCATTAAGCATTCACCCGTACCAACATAAAATGGTTAAATGTTTTACTCACTAAGTTACTTTCTTCTTTGGCCATGCTATAGACACTGTGCTTAGATTGATAATTATTGCTATATTTCATCACATTTTTACTCATCTTGTCCTACCATTTCCTTTAGAATTTACGGAGCTTATTTTCCCATTATTTCAAAAGCAAAGTGTGATGAGATATATTTATGGCCCACGTATTTTTAAATATTTTTCAAAAGTCGGTTTCTTTGTAGATGATTTGAGATTTTTGCTCATTGGTGTACGTGTCTCTGACAATCTTAGGAATAAAGAGATCTGTAGGTCCCTTTGGGTTTCAACTTTTTCATTTGGCTGAGTTGGTTAGACATTCTCTAACCAATCTGATTACTATTTAAAACTTGTAGATGAGGGAAACATAAAATAAAAAGTCTAAGATCACATGAATCTGATCTTATTCTATCCTATATTTCTAAAAGAATTTTTCAAGTATTGAAATGAGAAAAAATCCTAACAACTTTGCTGGATCAATATGTAATTATGTATATGTGGCAAAGAGGGCTAAGAAAAAAAAAATAAAGTAGATAACTGTGTAAAAAATAGTTGAAATCAAGTGCATCAAGATTCATCAATTGGAGGGTTCGCCATCCATATACTGACTCTCACCTGTGCAAATTCTGATCAGTATCCCACTCTCAATTATTGGTGGAACAAAAAAGATGGCCCATTCTTGTTGTGTGTAAATATTATAAGCTTCATTCTTTTTGAGTTTGATATCTTGAGATTATGGACTGAATCACTAAAATTTATTATTCATGTTGCTAACTTTAGTTTCATTTCTTTGTTTTTCACTGATAGCAATTTATTATTTTTTGCAGCCCCAATGGAGCTTACAGTTCTGGTTTCAAACCAATAACCCATCAGGTGATTTACAGGCATATTCAACTAAATTATTGTACCATGACAATAGGGCTTAAATAATTTAGAAAACATGGCCAATGGAATAAGAAAAAAAAAAAAAAAAAAGGGATAATGTTAGGTTTCTTGATAGAAGAAAGCGGTTCAAAAACATTTTCACTTACAGAAAACACCCTCACAAAACTGTATACTCTTCTTTTATTCATTTCTCAATAGTCATACAACAAGAACACTATCAAGGGGTGATGTTCCCCTTCTCACAGGACACTAACAATCCTGTCTGTACTCTCAACATACAAAAACATATCCCCCAACAACGAAAACCCACCTATATATATAGTCTTCCTATTAGGAAGACTCTAACATCCAAACCACCTAACCAACCAACTAACTTTTTGTTTTCTTCCTTCTTACATAGACATTTAATTTCCTAACATTACCCTCCTCTGCACAAACAACCTTGTCCTCAAGGTTGAAGTTTGGAAAATGGTGTTTGATAGTAGTTACATCCTCCCAGGTAGCTGTATCAGCTCCTCCATCCTGCCACTGAATCAGAACCTGAGGAATTGGGTCTTCTTGCCTTGGCTGTTGCACAGTCCTTCTCTCAAGCACTTTATTAGGAGGACAAGCGGAGGTTCTTCCTTGTAACTTCTCTGGCATCTCTCTTTCCACTTGATGCGTTCCTATAACCCATTTCAATTGGGAAACATGGAAAATGGGATGGATCCTTGCTGTTGCAGGAAGTTGCAAACCAAAAGCTACCGGTCCAACTTGTCTCAGCAACAAAAAAGGCCCATAGTATTTCGCTGATAGCTTAGGATGCAACTTAGTTGGCATTGAAACTTGCCGATGAGAGCGAATCTTCAAAAACACCCAGTCCCCCACTTTGATTGATGATGGTTTACAATGTCTATTCGCAAATTTAGTCATGTGCTCTAGTTAAGTAAAACTTGAGTTGATTAAGAGTTTCATCTCTTGTCATCAAATCCTGTGCCACCGCTTCAACGACAGTCTCCCCTGATACAAATCTGTTAAGTGAAGGTGGAGGTCTGCCATACACCACTTCAAAAGGAGTTTTCTTGGCTGCTCTTTGAAAACTGGTGTTATACCAATATTCTGCCCAGGGAATGAACAAGGATCACGTCTTGGGCTGTTCAAAGTTGAACACCTTAAATATGTCTCCAATGTTCTATTTAAAACTTCGGTTTGACCATCTGACTCCGGATGGTAAGCCACACTCATGTTAAGTTTTGTCCCTTGCAGCCGAAACAATTCCTTCCAAAAGAGACTTAGAAAAGTGGGATCCCTATCACTGACTATTGACACGGGAATCCCATGTAACTTTACCACTTCTTTGACAAAAATTTCAGCTATACTCTTGGCTGAATAAGGGTGTTTAATCGATATAAAGTGCCCATATTTACTCAACCTATCCACCACCACTAGGATGACATCTCTGGAAAATAGATTAACTGAAATATAATCTTTTTTATTATCAATACAAAGAGATGATATAAGATATATACAAGAGACCTAAACTATTTTAGGAAATATAATAACTCTATTTTATGCTAGGATCCCTTGATTTATGGGATTGTTCCTAATTATTAAAATCTGTACAGATTACAAGGAAATATACAAATTTCCTTATTTATTCTTTCCTAAAATACTATTTGATTTCTCACACTCCCCCTCAAGCTGGTGAATAGATGTTTTCCATTCCCGACTTGGATACAATCTTCTCAAAATTATGGCAGCCCAGTCCCTTGGTAAGAATGTCCGCAATTTGGTCTTGAGAGGACACATATGGAGTGCATATCAAGCCACTATCAAGCTTTTCTTTGATGAAGTGTCTGTCTACTTCAATATGCTTTGTTCTATCATGTCGCACTCGGGTTGTGGGCTATACCGATTGCTGACTTATTATCACAATAGAGCTTCATAGGTTCTTCCCACTTTATCCTCAAGTCTTCTAAGATGATTTTAAGCCATAGCAACTCACATATACCTTGTGCCATGGCTCGAATTCCGCTCAACGACTGGACCGAGCCACTACACCCCGCTTTTGCTTCTCCAAGTCACAAGATTTCCTCCAAGAAAGGTGCAATATCCCGTAGTTGACCTCCTATCCACAATTGACCCCGCATAATCGATATCGAGTATAGGCTTCAAGCTTCACATTACCATTCCTTTTGAATAGAATCCCTCTTCCCGGAGTTCCTTTAAGGTACCGTAAAATTACGTAGGCGACTTGTAAATGGGTCTCCTTTGGGCTATGCATAAATTGGCTAATTAAACTCACCGCATAGGCAATATCCGGCCCGGTATGTGACAAATATATAAGTCTGCCCACTAATCTTTGGTACATATCTTTTTCAACGACAACATCTTCTTACGCATTTCCAAGCTTTAGGTTTGGTTCTAATGGGGTACTAGCAGGTTTGCAAGTCGCCTTGCCGCTTTCCTTGAGCAAATCGGTGATGTATTTCTGCTTGAGATATAAATATCCCTTTCTCGGAGTGGGCAACTTCAATTCCCAAAAAATATTTTAGTTTTCCCAAAGTATTGATCTCAAATTCCTTGCCTAAGCATTGACTCAATAATTGTTGCTCTTCTTTATTATCTCCGAGCTAATATTATGTCATCCACATACACCAATAATATTGTTACTCCCCCGACTTGGAATGTTTAAAAAGCAAAGTATGGTCCCCTTGGCTTTGTTTGTAACCCGGACTTGTCATAACTTTAGTAAACCCGCCAAACCATGCACCGGGGACTGTTTTAACCCATATAATGCCTTTTTCAACTTGCAAACAGTGTTGGCGTAAACATCTTTACCATATCCCGGAGGTATCTCCATATAGATTTCTTCTTCAAGGTCTCCATGTAGGAAAGCATTCTTAACATCAAATTGTTCCAAGTTCCAACCATAATTGGCAGCAAGGGACAATATCACCCTAACTCGTGTTCATTTTGGCAACCGGAGCAAAGGTCTCCAAATAATCAACTCCATAGGTTTGGGTGAACCCTTTGGCAACTAGTCTTGCCTTATATCTCTCAATTGATCCATCGACCTTGTATTTCACTCGTATAGACCCATTTACATCCAACTCGGCCTCTTTCCTATTGGTAAGGTGACTAACTCCCAAGTGTTGTTCTTCTCCAATGCCTCCATCTCTTCATCCATGGCTTGCCTCCATTTTCTGTCAGACAATGTCTCAGATAGGGTATTAGGTAGAAGTACAATGTTTAGGTTTACTAGGAAGGTTTTATGGGTAGGAGAGAAATTTTTAAAGGACACGTAATTTGAGAGAGGGTAGAGTGGCTGTTTGGTGCATTTTCTTGTTCCTTTTCTAATGGCAATTGGGAGGTCGGGATCATTTTGGGTTTCAATTTCAACCTCGCACAATCTGGAGAAAAAATTGTTACCTCTTTTTGTGGAGTCGAGTTGGATTCTTGAACATGGCTTGATCCTGGAATGGCCTTAGTCTTCCTTGAGTACATCGACTTCTTACCAAATTTTCCAGTTTCAACATCTTCTTGATCAGCTTCACAATTAATTTCACTTTCTTGACCAACTTCCTTTGCTTGACCAATTCCTTGACTTGTTTCATTTGTTACAACTTCAATTTGATCTTCATTTTGATCTTGTTTAGGTTCAAATATCAAGTCCGGAAGAATGGGAAAACCGAATTACTACTTTCAATATGATTTCGTTTAGGTTCAAATGTCATGTCCGGAAGAATGGGAAAACCAGAATCACTACTTTCCTTATCTTCCCTAAAACTCTCCCCTTGAAGATAAGGTTGATGGAAATAGCCCTCTTGTTCATTGAAGGTAACATCCCTAGACACAAAGAATTTTTTGGATGGGGGGTGGTAGCATTTATACCCTTTTTGAGTGGGTGAGTAACCAACAAAGACACACTTTAAGGCTCTAGGATCAAGTTTTCCCCCGTCCGTACTATGAATATGGACATATGAGATGCACCCAAAAACTCTTGGTTTAAGATTATTTGTAGTAGACAAGTTTGGATAGAAAGACGACAAAACTTCCATAGGGCTTTTTGATCCTAAGACTCTAGAGGGTAGTCTATTGATAAGGTATGTTGCTCGTAAGGACAGACTTCCCCGTAAATTTTTTGGGACACTTTTTTGGAACAACAATGCCCGAGTCTGATTTAATAGATGTCCATTTTTCCTCTCTCGCGACCCCATTCTATTGTGGTGTTTTGACACAAGAGGACTCATGAATTATACCTTCTTTTTGACAAAAAGAATTAAGGACATGATTGAAGTAATCTTTGGCATTATCCGACCTAAGCCTCTTAATATTAACACCAAACCGATTTTTTATCATGGAGTGGAAGTTTAGGAAGACGAACCGACTTCGATTTTTGTTTAAGTAGGAAAACCCAAGTGACCCTTGTACGAGTCATCTATAAAGGTGACAAACCATCGAGTACCGAGACACATTTGGAATATTAGAAGGTCCCCATACATCGGTATGAACAAGATAAAAAGGGAAATTGCTAATTCTATTACTTATTGGAAAAGATATACGTTTGTGCTTAGCAAGTTCACACACCTCACAATGAAGACTCTCAACATCTAACTTGGTAAACAGAGAGGGAAATATAATTTTGATCACTCCAAAAGAGGGATGTCCCAACCGACAATGATAAAGCATGATTTTTCTCTCGTTGGTCATCAAGGATTCGGATATGAAGGAGTGAGTGATTCTATTCTTGCTGGGCAGACTTGGATCTTCGAGATAATAAAGGTCATTCCATTCTCTAGCATGTCCAATCATCCTCCCCGAATCCTTATCCCGAAATACACAATGATCGTTGGAAAAAACAACTTTACATGACAAATCCTTTATAAGTTTTTGTATAGACACTAGGTTCGTGGACAACTTTGGGACATGGAGAACGTCTTTTAAGGTTATTAAAGGATTGATTTGGATATTTCCTTGACTAGGCTGCAGCTTATAAGGGTTCCATCTCGTTGTGGCAATTTTCTTGTTGCTTGGGACATGGGGAATATGTGGAGAAGTGTTTGGCTAATGGTGTCATGTGATCTGTGGCTCCGAGTCCAATATCCAATAATGGTTAAAAGGCGTATCTCGAGACATTTAATCCAAAAGAAGGTGGAAACTTACCCGAGTATGCCAAAGAACACATACCCGTAGGTTTTTCCAGCTTACTAAGAATGGTTTTCACCCTTTCTATCTCCTCTTCCCTTGACATTATAGCAAAAAGGTGCGATGCAACAACAATGCAGGCTGTCGTCTTAGGATTATGAAAAATGCAGCAGCAATGCAGGTTGTCGTCTTAGGATTAAGAAAAATGCAGCAGCAATGTAGGCTGTCGTCTTAGGGTTAAGAAAAATGCAGCAGCAATGCAGGCTGCCGTCTTAGGGTTACAAAATATGCAGCAGCAATGCAGGCTGCCGTCTTAGGGTTTATCGAGCGCAGACAGAGCTTCCTAGATCGGAAGCTCTGATAACCATTTGATCTGGGAAGACTGACTATGAAATCCAGAATTACATCTTCCCATACTGCATTAGGTATGGGCAAAGGTTGTAACATTTCTTGTGGTGAGGAAGCCAAATACTTATACTAGTGGCAAATCAAACACGCCGCCACATACTCCATTACCATCTGTGGTGAGATCAACCTTTGAAAAAAATTTGGCTCCATGTAATTCATATAACAGCTCCTAAATAATAGGTAGAGGAAATTTATCAGGGATTGTCGCCCTGTTTAGGGCCCGGTAATCAATGCAAAACCTCCAACTCCCATCCTTCTTTTTGACTAGGATAACTGGGCTTGAATATGGGTTGTTGCTAGGCCTGATTATTCCCGTTTTGAGCATTTTAGACACTTGTTTTTCTATTTTTGATTTCAGTAAGTGTGGATATATGTAAGGTCTCACATTGACTGGATTTTCACATGCTCTGATGGGTATTTTATGATCTATCTCCCTCCTTGGTGGCAGTTCCAAAATTTCCTAGAAAATCCCCTTATACTTCTGCAAGACCTTTTCTATCTCATCTTGTTGTCTGGGTGACAAGTTCTTCCCCAACACCTCATCCTTCTCCACTGTAGTCACCCCTAACTCCCATACCAAAGTCATGGTTTCAATCTCTGTTTCTTTCAACAGAGCTTGAGGCGTTACAACCCTTTTTATGAGAGTTGGATCCCCTTTAATCTACATTTGCTTCCTTGCTACATTAAAATATATGGTTAATGTTCTCCAATTAACTTTAACCTCCTCCAATGATGCTAACCAAGTTACTCCCAAAATCAAAACTAGTCCACCCAGCTCAAACAAGAAAAAATGTCTCTTTCACTGTGTGATCTTCCAATTGCACTTCTATATCCTTGCAACATCCACTGGTTTGTTTTTTGTGACCATCTCCTAATTTGACACAATAAGGTGATGTATTTTCCACCTGTAACCCCAATTCAGGCACTAATTTTGAGGAGATAAAATTATGGCTGGCTCCATAGTCTATCAAGATATGCACTCTTTTCCCATTAACCCATCCTTGTAACTTCATCGTATTAATTTGGGTCAGCCCCTGCTGAAAATAAAGACAACTTCATCCTTTTATGCTCCATGTTCTCCAATTCCTCTTCCTTTACTTCCTCCCCATTACCTCCTTCTTCCGCATCTTCTGCTAGAATCACTACCCTTAAACCCTTATTCAGACACCGATATCCTAGACTATAAGCTCCCTCACAGTGAAAACATCTTCCTTCTTCCCTTCTCTTGATGTATTCTGGATAAGGCAGATTTCTCACCCTCAGCTCCTGGTTCCTTTCATTGAGTTTCCTCTACCCTTGGACCCAAAAAATGTTTCTCCCTTTTCTTTCTTGGTAGTACTGATGTTGCTGGGTGCACTTTGTGAATTTCCAGCTCCCTTGAATGTTTCCGTTCTTTATATTGTCCCCATTCCTCCTTGATACCAAAAATTAGAATTATTATTTCAGTATGCACTTCCTCCTCCTAGTCTGGTTTCTTTGAATGAATCTTCCACATCCCGAGCTATCTCCATAGCCCTCATCAAATCCTTAGGATCATGTGGTCGGATCTGACTCCTAATTCCACTTTGCAATCTAGCAAAAAAAAATCCAATAGCTATTTTTCAGATAATTTTGGAATTTGTGAAACCAATATCTCAAATTCCTTAATATATTCTTCCACTCCACTATTCTGCCTTGTTGCCGCCAATTTTTCAAAGACAGTACTCCTTTCCTTTCCTCAAAATCTCCTATTTAATGCTTCGGTAAAATCTTCCCAAGAAGGATTCTTGGCCTTCTTTTTTCAGAATCTAAACCAATGGCCTAGCACTGCCCTCCACGCTAATGAATGTCAGGCAAATTTTCTCCCTTGAAGAAATGTTTTGGATTTCAAAAAATTTCTCTATCCTTGCAATCTACCCCATTGGGTCACTTCCTTCAAAGTTGTCAGCTCCACCCTCTTTATCCAATGATGCTGCACCTCTTCTTCCCCACCATCCGAATCAGATTCCTCACTAATCATCATCCATTCTCCTCTTGTTCCCCCATTAATAGAATTCTCACCTTCCTCCAAGCTTCTTTCTTTTTCCTTGAAGTGTTTCAACAAGTCTTTGATTTCTTGAAAATTATCTTGCATTTTTGAGATGATCTTTCCATGCTCGTTGGCCATTTTTTCCAAGACAACAATTCTTCCTTCCATGATTTCCCTTTTTCCAGATTCGGCAAGTCGGACCAATTGTTAGGTTTCTTAATAGAAGAAACCGGTTTAAAAACGTTTTCACTCACAGAAAACACAAAAAACACCCTCACAAAACTGTATACTCTTCTTTTATTCGTTTCTCAATAGTCATAAAACAAGAACACTACAAGGGGTGATGTTCCCCTTCTCACAGGACACTAGCAATCCTGTCTATACTCTCAACATACAAAAACATATCCCCCAACAACAAAAACCCACCTATATATATAGTCTTTCTATTAGGAAGACTATAACCTCCAAACCACCTAACCAACCAACTTACTTTTTGTTTTCTTCCTTCTTACATAGACATTTAATTTCCTAACAGATAAGGATAGGAAAAATTTGATCTTTTGCATTAAGATATCATGTTCCAAATGGTTGCTTTAATGGCTTGGAATTTCATTACATTTTTCACATACATTAAATATCAGGGCATATAGGGGAAAAGAAAGAACACAATACCTGAAGTATGCCATTATCTTTGGTTGTGTTCTTTGAGAAAAAAAGTTATTAGCCAAAAGAGTAGGGAAAACTGAATATTATCCATCTACAGAAAGAGAAAAAAGAATTCAAGTTCAACTATTGATAAGTTATTACGAATTTGGCATTAGTGTATTCATGTGTGCATATTTAAATTTGAAGATTTCCATGCTAAAATGTCATGACTCATGAAGTCCCTTCATATTAATCTATCTGTTTAAGTTCTTCTTTCCACTGACATTATTTAAAAGGAGTTTCTCCGTTCAAGTCGTGCTCGAAGGAGATATTGGGCAAGGAGCTATGCCGGTTGGAGGAAATTTACAGCGGCACAACCATCAGCTGCCCATACTGCTTTGGCTACACTAGATAAAGCTGGCCGAATCAATTTTATGATTACCCAAAATGTTGATAGGTACCTTTTATAAGTATCAGTTTAGCTTATCTGGAAAACATGAGACATTAAAAGCAAGCCTATCCTGGAATTTTGGTGTACCTTGTTTGCAGGCTGCATCATCGGGCCGGTAGCAACCCATTAGAAATACATGGGACTGTATACACTGTAATTTGTTTAGAGTGTGGATATTCCTTTTGCCGGAGCTTATTTCAAGACCAGTTGAAGACCCTTAATCCAAAGGTTAGAATTTGTAACTAATAGAAAAAATTGTATTATCAATGAATAAAAGCTTAAGAAGTGGTTTCTATAGTGAGAATATGCCATTGAAGTGAGTTTATGATTGAGGCATGATATTTAAAAGATCTAATCCTTTGTTCTAAAGATAAAGTATATTATCATGTTGAGAGATGTAACACTTAGATATAAGTCATAATAATGGCTCTACTGTTTGATAATTATAGTATCTGGTTAAGCACTTTTTGGCGAAAGGTCTTGATGGTTTCTTTGGGTTGGTTTTTCTTGTGATGAAAGATTTCCCCTCTATTTTATTCCCTTAAATAGAAGGAGAAGAATGATGCAAGCTCTGCTCAATCATCTGGTGTGTGACATGGGGAGAACAGTGATCCCACTAAATGGTTTATACTTTATAGTTTTAAGATGGAATCTTGATCGTCGAGAAGTACTGTGAACCAAAAAGATATGAAGCACAGAGACCTCTCTTGGTGAAAGTGTCACTGTCTCGGACACATTTTTACTCACCCCAACATATGTCCACACTTCTAACTTAATTAGGTATTTAATTAAACAATTACTTTTGGCTGGCTTGGACACATAAGCTGACACATTTACACAACTCCAACACTTGAGCCAACATTCATAAAAAATATTTCAGTTTTTATCTTTAAAAGTGTTAGCTTAAAATATAATATGAAATATTGGCAAAATCAATGTTAATTGGCTTTTTAGAAGGTTGCTTTAAAAGGGTAAATATACCATCCAATTAGATATTTTATTATTTTACTCATACTTCATTTTATTGGCGTCTCTCTTTGTATGTGTATACAACGCCGACGTGTCTTGTATTTTATTTTAGACATTATTTGTGTCAGATGTCTGTGTGTCATGTTGGATGTTTGTGCTAGAGTCCGTGCTTCGTAGCTAAAAAGTAGAGAGAGAAGTATGGGAAAACTAATATATCCAGTGAAAGATTCCAAATTGCATGTGTAATATAATACTTAAACCTCATGTTTAAGTAAGACTTGTACCCTTTGATTCAGTCACTGCAAGAAACTACTTAACTCCTAAAACTTTTTCAAATACTTTTTGTTTTCTTATATTCCTTAACTATACGCGTAAATAAAGCAGATAAAGAGACAATTCAATGAGGGTATCATCTTGAATCTTGCAGGGCTTACTAAACTGTAAAGGATACAATTACAACACTCTTATATATTAGGACACTTAATTGAATTTTCTTCAGAATTATGTTTTGCATGTTTAAATCATTTCATGATATATATTGCATGAGTTGGATATGAGTTCCTTGTACTGTAACTCCGAAAGTAAGAGGACATGGCTTGTGTCATTACTGTGTATTTAAAAGCAAAAATACATTGCTTCATTTTATTAATGCTTTAGTAGTGGAGTTTTTGTTTCTCAAAACAATAAGACTGCATTCTTCTGCTCTGAGTTTCCCTTTTCTGATAAACCAGTGGGCAGAAGCAATAGATAACTTGGATCATGGAAACCCTGGATCCGAGAAGAGCTTTGGCATGAAACAAAGACCTGATGGTGATATTGAGATTGATGAAAGATTTTGGGAGGAGGATTTTGTAATCCCAACATGTCATAAGTGCAATGGAGTTCTCAAACCTGATGTAAGCCACGTGGTTTCTTTCAGTTGAAATATTTTTTTGTGCCTGATACTTTTCTGGATACTTCAGCCTGTTAGTTTTGTTCAGAATTTTGTATTTTGTTATTTATTATTGTAGCTGGTAACAAGTGGGGGCAACAAAAGTATAAGAAATATTAATTATTACTTTATAATTTATAGATCTGATACCATGGAACTATGAGCACACCCTCTCTACTTCACATAAATCTGCAAATTACCATGAAGCATTGCATGTCTATAAATGCAGTGAAGCTGAATAGACACTCCTGGATCTTTTGACTGCCAGTTCAGAATATATAAGGTTATGATAGGAAGTGGAATTTGACACACTCCAAAATATAGAAAAGATATCTCAACAGTGGGAAAAAGAAAAATAGGAATTCGGGTACAGATATTATTGAATGTATATAAAAAGTAAATACAGTGGAGTGAAGTTCCAACTGTCATTAAGTCTGAATGCGCATTCTGTCCATAACAAACTTAATGGTTCTCTCCAATATTCTCTCTCTTTCCATTATAACAACTTAATCATTCTCTCCATGTTTGACACATCCCTCTCTCTCTACCAAGTCAACATTGTTTTTCAGACCCTTTCTATTTTTTCTAACATAAACTCTTCACACCTTTGGCCTGGACAGTTGAGGTACTAACTCGCCATTAGTTAGAACCAAATTCTAATTTAAGGTGATACCATGGTTATGGAACATTTGTTTTATGTTCTCATAAGGTGCTATAGTTGTTATCCTATCCCAGGCAGCTAAACTTTTCTCGTTTGACACCAAGAAATCAAAAGAAAAGTCAATGCTGATGACCATTTAAGTTGTGTATTCTTTTATGTAATTCTGTTTTATGTGACAAATCTTGATGTATGCTCTATCGTATATCTTCCTTATCTGATGATTTGGGACTGTTCTATCTCTTTTTGAATAAGTTCACGGCTGTGTTATTCAAGATATTTCATGATTCAGCTGAAGGGACAGACTACAAGTGTATTTTGAAAATATTAAATTATTTTATGAACAGAGGAATCATAATCATGTATCTAAAATGTTTGGTTGTTTTGATTTGTTTCTTTACCCTGGTGAAACTAAATGCTTGTTTAAGTAAATCAAACTTGAAATACTTTCGGAGTATCCTTAATGTTCTCATTGTAATTATCAAGGTTGTCTTCTTTGGTGATAATGTTCCCAAGGACAGAGCTGCTATGGCAATGGAAGCGTCTAGAAGATGTGATGCTTTTCTTGTACTTGGGTCGTCTGTGATGACCATGTCTGCTTATCGACTTGTCAGGTAGATTGAAGATTACTATGTCTCTTGGGCTCTGGTGATGGTGCCAATGTTATCTAAATTCTAATATTTATATACGCAAAATAGTAAAATAATAATAATATGTAATTTGCATTCTGCAACATGATAGATTGATAGATAGTAGCTACCAATTTCCCATGTTGGAATGGAACTATCATTTGAAATTAAAAAACTATTTATTGTAATTAAGTTCCGACCTATGATTTAGAAAGAAGCTTGTATCCCCATATTCGAGCAATGAAATATTTTTCCTTTTTCCTGTGTTGCATTGGCTGGCTGCATATCTGACATAAGTGGATCTGTAAAATTGACTTTAACAGGGCAGCTCATGAGGCTGGTGCTGCTACTGCAATTGTGAACATAGGTGTGACACGTGCTGATGATTTTGTGCCCTTAAAAATCAATGCACGATTGGGTGAGGTATGGATTCGGTTGATCTTGATTATTTATACTCGATACCACTCCTCTACCGCCTCAAATCTTACAAGCTTTGCATTGATGCAGATCCTACCTAGGGTACTTGACATGGGATCTATGAGCATACCTGCTGTATAATGATGGTGGATGAGAAGATGTATCAAATTACATTGACACCCATCAGTCCTCTAGCCCAACTTTCTTGTACACTGTTGTTCAGGTATAGTCTAAACGTTGCCAGACTCCAATGGACATCCCTTAACTCTTCAAAATTTTATATATGTCAATTTTCACCTGATTTTCCCGAAAGTTAAAATACGTTGAACGAAGCATTTTCATCTTCAGAGGTGATGAAGTGATGCTTGGAGAGGATAAATACACGTGTAGATGATTGACGTTGTAGCTCGTCATTCTAAATTTTTAGAAACGATTTAGTGTGATATATTTTGCTTTGTTTAAATTTCATTTATTAAATGCTTCAAGCTCTAAGAGTTACGTTCTCCTTAGTGACGATTGGAGTAAAATTGCTCCAACCTCATGAACTTATATTTTATTTCATCATTTTGCCCCATGTAAATGATATTGACAATGTAATTGATATTTTTGTTCTCTTTTTTTCAACTTACTATACAAAGCTCAATGCATGACAGAACTGAAGCCAGAATCTTCACAAAAATCGACAAATATAAATCGACGTTCAAACATATATTAGAACGCTGATTTGGACCAGATGAAAAATGCTATATTATAATTTAAATGGATAAATTTATTTGTTATTCTTATACTCTTTTCCAAACTTGGTTTTGAGTTAAAAAATTCAAAATATGTGAATTTGAATTTTTCATTAATTTTGTTAAGAGAACATGTTTTTTACTTAAAGACTAAAATACCGCCGAAATTAAATAAAATGGCCAAATAAGAGACATTATAGAGCTATATTCGGAAATGCATAAAATAGTTGGTTATAATTGCAATATATGCTTCGACGCATGTATTTTCATCCCATTTTAAGAGAACTTTCAAGGGTTATGCCACGTGTTCATTTCCACGTTGTATGCGTATTCCAACAATAAAGGAGAGAAGTTCTTGGGTTTCTCGGCTTCCCTTTCCTTTTCTCCAAGGTTTTGTTTCAAACCGTGAAAGACAGTAGTATTGCGAATGGTAGCAGAGAACAGAGTTAACTAGTAGAGCATATAATAACTGTTAACTTTACAGGCACCATTAAGCTTGAAATCCAAAACCTACAATGGGAGTACCAGTCTAAAAAAGGTTTGATTAGTAAATACATCACAAGAACATTCAGTTTTGTTCTAATCATCCAAAAAACCATATAAACATTGCGTGGACACTAGTAAATCCACATGGTGCCTATTTCCTAAGAATTCTCACTAACTGCTTTGTCAATTTCTTCAACATGAGTTCGGAGGACATTCCACTGCATACGAGAAAGAAAACGAATCATTTGTTCAACTTTTTTAGAAAAAAAGTGTAGATTGATGACATGCATAGAAATAAAACATGTAACCATGCAACATCCAAATTATTTGAAGATATAATATACCTGATCCATGGTCAAAGAGATACCTGAAAACAAAATTGAAGATGTTAGTGAAACCCACATTTATAAGTCATCAAGCCACTTGGGGTTTAAAATAAAAGGATAAATATCAAATATCAATGAGCTCGATTAAGAACAAAATTTTCAGTGAAGGCAACTTGAACTAAACGGAAGACAACAAAATATATTCCTGTATTCCACTTGAACCAAACTACAATGTACATTTTAGAACTTCCCCTGTCGTCTAAGGATGAATTGCATTGCATATTATGAACTTGGACATAACATAAAACAAGACCTTTGAAATGTCAATGATGTCAAAAGCCTTATTGTCAACAAAAAATAGAGGATTGGTTAGCAGCAAATGTAAATTTCCAATATGCATAGCTACTGTGACCTAGGATAGCAGCACACAGCAGCCAACCACAAAAATGCTATGACAGGATAGCAAATAGCAGAATATCCATTATTCTGCTTTAAAATTATATATACAAATAAATACTCATAAATATTATCTGTCTCTATGTATAACTGAAAATAAATGACAATTATATCAAACAAAATAAATTCTTGTCCAAAAGAAAATGTAGTAGGAAAACACTGGAATGCGGCAGAAACAAAAAAGGGAAAAAATGTAGCTACAACGAGAAGAGAAAGCCCTGTCATTATTTCCTACTATAACTATGTACAAGTGCAGTTTATATATTATACGACTTCTTAACAACATTATTTCCCATGAGCCAACAAATGCTGTTGTAACTGGTAAGCACAATTTCCAATCCAGTCATTGAAAAATGTCGACATTCATAAACAAAAACAAATTGAATGTTTATTGATCTAATAAATTTAATTATACCAACAACATAAAGGTTACAAATAAGAAAAATTAATTCAGTTTTCATATTATCCTCAACCTAATTGTTTGCTAAAAAACACATTACAAGGCTAGAGTTTTCTTTCGTCGCAAAATGACCAGCCTTATTGCAAAAATTTACAACTCATATAACTTAAACAGCCCAAAACGTTAATTACAAAATGCAGTATATGTAGCACCAACACTTCAGGTACCCAATTGGAAGTAGAGTCTTTGGTAGAAAAATGAACAGGCATCTATCCAACGCAACTTCACACAAATGTATATAAATACCAACATGCTCCACTCACACAATGACTAAGGAATAAATGCAAATAAGAATCATTATGTATCAATATGAATAATAGATTACATGAATGCGAATTTTCAAGGACCACATTTTTTTAAATTATGGATATGCATTAACAGTAGTTAACAACAAACTACACACATAAATTAAAGTCCAACAAAACCGACGTCAGAAAGAAAACTTCAAAGCTGTGACTGCTATCCCAGAAAACGTGTTTACCCTCAATCTTATGAATAAAACATTACCAATCAGCAAGATAGAACTGCATATATCATCAACCACAACATAGCATCATATTCATTAGTTTAACTACCTCCTTGAACAGGGAATAAGGAACCTCCCTAGAGACCCAGGGTATGAGATCATTATTTCAATCCATTACGCAAAGAACAATTTATTACATTTGAAAATCAATCCAAAACCCTTCTATTCATTAAACAACGTACCCACCTAACTAAAATAAACTCATACCCAGAGTAAACAAATTACATGAAAAACTCAAAGAACAGAATAATTTCCAACAAAATGCCAAACAAAAAAGTCACATAAGAATCTAACCTTTCTTGCCAGGCAATTTTTTGCCATCCTTGAGGTAAAACTCGCGAATGTCAACCATAATCCTGCCATTCCAGTTCCTTACAGAAACCCTCCTGTTCTTCGAAATCTACATCCCACCAAAAAAAAAGGTAAATGAAATAAATAGTAAATAATCGGTAAAATAAAGTTTAAAAAAAAAAGGAAAAAGAGAAACCCTAGTTCAGTGAAGAAATGAACCTCGCATACGATAATAGTGTCGGATTCATCGTCGGAGTCTTTCTTAAAAGTCTTTTTGGGCGGAGCGTGGCCTTCAGAGTCGGCGTCGGAGGCACCATCTTCATCTCTCCTCTTTGCCTTCCCAGACATTTCTCAAATCTTCTCAGCTTCTGTGACGTGAATGAGTGACTATGAGAGTGAATTTATTGAGACGCGAGAAAATGGAATTTTATCAAAAATGAAAAACATATATATATAGAAAAAGAATGAGAGAGAGCAAAAAATTGAAACCTAAAAATTCTTTTGGTTTTGGCGCCCAAATTTCAGCCCAATCCAAGAGTCGCACTACTCATGTGAGTGGGTTCACTCAACTCGCTGCGTTTCAAACTGTTCGCATTCTCGCTGTTTCACACTCAGACGAGTGCCACCAATACACACCTATTTAACTGGAAAAACTTCATGTACATCTTACAACTATTTGGTTATTATTTATATTTTTTTCCTTTTTTATTATATAGGACTCTTATTTTTATTTTCCTCTCTCCTACTTATTCTTCTAATTAAATTATTATATTAAAATTTAATAAAAATATATTAAATAAATAGTTTAAAATCAATATTAAAATTTAAAAAAAATCAATTAATTATTTAAATTTATGATAATAAATAATTTTATTAATTATAACAATAAATAGTTTTATTTTATATAAATAATTAATTAAAAATTATTTTATCATAATAAATAGTTACTTATCTAATTAAAATAAAAAATATCAAATATTTATGAGTTAAATGTATTTTTTACTTAGTAATTTAATTTGATTATAATTAGAATTATTTATGATAATTAATTAGATTAAGTAATTTTTAAAAATGTTTATTAAAAAATCTTTAAAATAAATATTTATTTTCTTTAATAATTATAATATAATAACAATATTTATAATATCTCAAATTTATTATATAATATTTTTTGAAATATAATAGATTAAATGATAATATTTCTATATCATTTAAATATTTTTATTTTTTCAGAATAATAAAATACTTATTTTATCAAATTTTAATATATTTAAAGAATAAGATGAAATAAAAAAAAAAAGAAAAAAAACACAGACATTAAATAAAGACAGAAAAAAAACTAATAATATATAAATAAATAAATAAAATAACTATATTATATTAGATGAATTTATTTCTTATTTTTTTAATGTTGTAAATTAAAGATAAAGTGGTCTAGTTAGATAAATTTAGAAATATTCTACTTAAATAATTTTTTTAATATATTATTTATAGGATTTATTCCACGTGCATCATCCTATTTTTTTAATTAAAATTTAAATACTTATTGAAATTTAGTAAAAATATTTACTGCACCAATTATAATAACAAATAGAAACATATAACTGTGTTCATTGGATTTTCTTTTTTCCCAAATAATATTAAAAAAACTATTAATTATTCAAATATACTCTCTTTGTTTACCCAACTAGACTTATTTATAGTACAAGATCAGAACTCGGTTTCGAGTAAAAATGTGTGATGTTAGAAGTAGTCAGAATTTGGTTTGGCGAAAACTGAATTATAAACTGCGTTTTGATTTTTTTTTTTTTCATATGCATTTTTATCTATATATAGAATTCATATATAAATAATTTTGAACTGCATTTTTATTTATATATTTAAATAGATATATATATATATATATATATATACTGATATAATTAAATATTATTATATTTATAAATATAATAATATAATAATTATATATTTAAATATATATAGAGAGAGAGATATTTATATGTATATTTGTATATTGATATAATTAAAAATTATTATATTTATATATTTTAAATATTTATATGTTTTTATATAATATATATAGTTAAATATTAATATATGAATATATTTATATATTTATATTAATATATTTTTATATGTTTAAATAATTAAATATTAATATGTAAAATATATTTTAATTATTTATATATTTAAATATTAATATAATTGTATTTGTTATATTTATAAATTTAAATTTTAATATATTAGTATATTTATATTTATAAATATATATATATATATATATATATAATTTGATAAGTATATATTTATATAATTACATATTAATATATTTAGATATTTATAAAATTATATATTAACATATGTTAATATTTTTAAATTTTTATATTTATATAAATATATTAAATTATTTGATTTATTATGATTAAGTAATATTAAAAATAAAATAAATTTGATTTACATTCAATTAGCTAAAAAATATTATGATAATATTAAAATTATAAACAAAAAAAATAAAATAAAAATTTTATTTATTAAATTGAAACAATCCAGAAATAATACATGATAAAAGGAATATATTAATTTTGTGGACGAATAACGTTGGGACACGCTTTTTTGTGTGACCAACGGTAAAACGAACAAAGTTTGGGACGAGATTGACTTTCGGTATGTCTATTTCTATTTTTATTCGTCTTGGCTTTTAGACGACTTTTTACAAATCTCTTCATTTCTAGATTTTGGCTCAAAATTGGTCCCATGTAAGATGGTCAATAATATTTATTCTTTAATTCTCCGAACAGTATGTCATAGACCTTACCAATTTGTACTAAAGTATAAACATGATTTATGTAGGTGGTATGGTGTGTGTGTTTGCACACAGCTATTACATGCAAACACGGTAAATGAAGTTTTTGGAATTTACCACAATCACACCATGATTCATTAAATCTTACTACAAATTGGCATATTGGTCTGGTTTCTCTTGAATTGACGGTTTCCTCTACAAAAAATATTGTACTTGTTAAGGTTCCAACATAAAACTAATTGGCAATATGTGGAGTAGCCTAACATGTATTTAAACCATACCAAATGACAAGAGGTAGGCGATGTGGGACTTTCAACACACCTCCTCCAACGAAGCCTGTCGGACCAGGCAAAGGGTACTTTTGACCCAACTAAAGGGCAACTTTTGGCCCATGACAATAACCGGAAATATGTTAGGCTTTGGCTCTGATACCATGTTAAGGTTCCAACATAAAACTAATTGGCAATATGTGGAGTAGCCTAACATGTATTTAAACCATACCAAATGACAAGAGGTAGGCGATGTGGGACTTTCAACATTACTCATCAAGTCAAATTCAATCACTCTATGAGTGTTTGCCTTTGCATGTGCATCGTCCAAAGTCTTGGATACCACTTCAGCATATACATGTCCAGTAGCAATCATGGTCGCCACTTCTCTACCTCTTTCGGTGAAGAAATTATTGCAACATATATAAGTTGTTGTCACCAAAGAGGAAATAGGAAAGTTCCTTATCTTTTGAGGATGAATTTATTGACTTTGCCAAGTTGGTGGTTATGTGTCCACAACATTAACCGTTGTCCCAAACTAGTGTCCACTTCTCCCTTGGTATTTCATCCAACCATTTTATTGCCTTCAGGTCTTCACTTCTTAATATGTTGTAATAGTATAAGAATATGAGTTCAGTCATTCCATATGTTTACAAAATAATTAAAATAAATTAGGTGCTTGAGTTAATTAAAATATAAAGAAAATAATGAGTTTAGAAAATAACATAAGTTACTTATGTTGACAGCATCCTTAAGTAGATTTTTTTTAATCTCCTCATGAAATTGTGTGCAATGTTTCAAATACAGTACACAATCATACAATTTTGTCCAACCACTACCCTCTCTTGAGTAAGCACTTCGTATGGACTCATGACCATAAAAAATGAGGCATAGTCCATCTTGTGGGGTGACTTATCTCCTTAGGTTCTTCAAAAAGAAAAACCAAGCATCAATTGTTTCTCCCTCGACTATAGCAAGGCGATTGGGAGTATGTTGTTGCGACCATCTTGTGCTACTACAACCAATAAGGTTCCTCTATATTTTCCATAGAGAAATATTTCAACCACTTGCACTAATGGCTTATAGTATTGAAAACCATTTATGCATGGTTTGAAGGACCAAAAGATCCTTTTGAAGAAGACATGGTCCTCAACTAGTTATTATCCTTGGTATGTTGGACGTGTGTTCATCTTCCATATAACTCCATAAACATATGCTTGCATAGCCTTAAGAAGAGGTGGCAAATTTTTGTACGACTCCTCCTAATTGTCATATATTTTCTCGATGGCTAACTGCTTTACTAACCATGCCTTTTGATAAGTGACAGTGTATCCTTGTGTAGAGTTGATATAGGTAATTATGGCTGACACAAGGGTTGAACAATCAGCATCAACAATTTCTTAGATTGTTTTAGAAATAAGGCGTGATCTCAACTTGTTATGATCTTGAGATATTAATGGGGACATGCAAGTGCGACTGCATTCCAACATCATTATTTGCCAATATTGCTCTCTAGTCTACAATATTGCTCTGCACCTCTAGTCACACTTTGGATGAATACACTACATTACAAGCCTAGATTGGCTTGAAATTTGCACCTTGTATGTGCAATGGTGCATGATGTGGAACCTGTTTATTGTGTCAGTGACAGCTTGTTTGTTGTTAAAGCGTTGGCCAACAAACAATGTCCCAGGGGGTATACAAATATTTCTCGGTTAAGAACATGGGCAAATTTGGGATCAATGTCATTCATGGTAAAGTGAAATTGGGTAAATTGTTCGGGTGGGTTGTAGGTGACTTGGGTAGGTTCAATGGCAAGTTCTAATTGGGGTTTTTCATCAACTTTCTCATCTGCACTATCAGCGAGGATGTCATATTTGTCATCGCTGAAAGGGTCACAAGTTTCAAATGGAAGGCCTAATATGACATGTTCTTCCATGGAAGGGTTGTTTAGTGGGGTTGGATGGATTGGCTGAAAATGTGAGATTGATTCAAAAACTGGGGTTGGTCTTGTGAGAAGTTATGTGTAGGTTTGAATATCTGATTCCCAAGAAGTATAAAAAGAAGGATTATTTTTGCTTAGGTTTGATGGTGAAAGGTGGTAAGAAGATTTGGATGATAAGAAAATTTAGGTTGTGGGTTCAGTACTGGTTCAAGTACATATGAAGGCGAGGAAAAAGAAACTGACATTTAGTTTTGATATGAATGAGAATGAAACGTAACAAATAACTCAATGTTAGTGGAAAATACCTCAGATATGGAAATGTCGAACATGT